AAAAAACAAGTGGTTTAATTAGCATTAAAACAACAACTTCGCACGTGCATCACACTTTTTTCTACATTTCTTTCCCGCTTTTGCACGACTGCGATGTGAAATTGCCTAATTTCGCGTTTTATGGAGGACGTAAACAAGCAACGACGAAATTTTATTTCTCTTTTTGAGCTTGAATTTGGTCCCTTGAAATTCAGCTTCAGGAGGGTTCGCCTACATTTGACAAAGTAAGTAGGTAGGAATAATCACTATAAAGATTGAAAGAACGCAAATTCACTTTTTAAGCGACGTTCTTGTCGTCGTGGCGTCGTTGGATCGGATCTTAAAGTCCCTACTTTTTTCGTGACGCGAGGCTTTGATAGTGACCCGTTTCTTTTGAGTTTTGGTGTGTCTACGCGTTTACAAGAAACCTCCTTTAATTTATAGACGCCTGTCATGACTTCTAATACATATTACTAACGTAATGTATCAACTCACTATGACTCAACTATGGTTCGTAAATGGCCAAGGTGATATAATCCTTATAGACTTGTGCAGACAAAACCCTACAGACTTGTGTAAACTATTCAGTCACACAAAATACTATCGATCACAATCGTGTGCTCTAAATTCTTTATACTGTACCACTATGTACGTTTGAAAACGTCTAAAGAGCTATCGATCTCCACTGAGCGGCCTTAGCTTGTTCACTTCTAGAAATTCTCCAAATCTTGCTAAGACTTCACTGCGATATATAGTCCTTGGGTTTCATTACTCCTCTAAACATTACCTAATAATTAGGGGCTAGCAAAAATCACAATTAGCAACATTTCACTTAACGAACATGTGGAGTACCTGCCATAAAGCTGATTTTTTTTTTAATTAAATTGAATAGGTGTTATATTATAAACAGATAGATGGCAGTGATAATATCACTTCTGTTGGCCAGTTGTGAGGCAGCATCAATGATTTTTCTCATTGTTCTAAAGTTTCTAACATCTAATTAAGCCAATGTAAGGGAATGTCAGACAGGCTTGAAATCTACTGGATTCCAATCAGTGGAACTTGGATTCTGGATTCCAATAGTTAGTGGGATTTCAGATTCCTTATGCTGTATTTCGGATTCCAAAGCCCAGGATTCCAGATTTCACAAGCAAAATTTTTCCCGAATTCCGAAAACGTGATTCTGGCCTTGTAATACATTGAGAGAAAAATCAGATTTTGTTCCTCTCAACTAGCTCAAACGGATGTGTCCGAATTATATCACAGTTGACCCGTCTGAGATTCCATCTGAAAGGTTTCGTACTTGAACGGGAAGCGCACATTGCAGAAAAAGACCAACCGTATCTCGGGAGTTTCTCGCCCTGTTTTGCGGAAACCATTGGGATCAATTGAGGTTTCTAAGAAACTACCCACCTACCCCTCCCCTAAGCCAACATTTTGCCCTAAGTGAGAAGTAAGTGTTAATGTCAGCTTAGAGGACTGATAGGTGGTTGGCTTTTGTGTTTTGGTGTGAATATTGTTCATTATCTTTTCAATCTTTTGTATTACGTCATGTGGTGATTGCACCCCTTCAGCATTACCAAGAAACCACAGGGATCCCAGCATCCTACCAAAAGAGTTAATTTGTATTTGATATGGTTCCCACTGTCCCCCGCATCTATTAGTTTTCTACGCGATGTTGTTGTTTCGGTCTCCTCAATTTAAAAGAGCTGTTGTGTGCCCACCCTAAACAGAAATCCCTCAAGATGATCGAAAACGATCATATCAGACCTATTTCTCTTCAGTGATCTGGTTGCGGAGATCATGGAGGGAAATACACTACTGACACTATAATGATTTATCCCGCACATCATAAATATTTTTCATCTCGATCGCAATCAATTTGCGGTTACAGAAAATTCTACCCAGCAAGCAATTGTCCATCTGTAACATCTTGCCTTGGATACCCTCCCAACGGTAGAGTAAGACTTCTTCTTTGCGTATTCTCGATCCTAAGGGCCGCCAACTTGATAGGCCAGTATTCTTTAATGTAAAAAAAAAAAATTATCAGAATTTGACATCCACTCCACCCCCTTGTAAGTCCGAGGGTTAAAGAAATACCGGACTCCCTGTAACACAGCTCTTCTATAAAAGCAGAAAGTATTGTTGGTAAATAACAGCCAATCAGTTTAAAGATTTCAAAACTGGCGTCATGTCGAGGGAACCTTACCTCGGGAGACTAACTGATTTGCTTGAACAAAAACAACACCTGTTCATTAATTGATTTCTTTATTCGACAAATAATTCAATATTCACAGACTTAACTTACAACTTTTGTTAAGCAAAGTTGCTACCCCCACCTTAGGGCAAGATAAAGATATTATAAACGCAAGTTTTCTGTGACTGGCCAAGGCAAACTCATTTGCGTTAGTATCTTCGCGTTGTTTACTTTGCTTTACTGAAATTATCTTTTTATAAAAAGCTTGGGTTGGCTAGTCACTATAAAACAAGGGAGTAATATAGACATTACAAATCTCAGAATACTTGTGCATCTAAGGTAACTTAACATCAATGAGCTACTGATAATTAACAATTAATGAATGAGGCTGAGTATCTTATGAAGAATTATGGAGATCGAGGAGGGTGTTATCCGTCGATGCCGTAGGCCGAGGCGGACAACACCCTCCGAGATCTCCATAATTCTTCATATGATACGAACGCCGAATGCAATAATTGGTCTATTATTCATTCAAAATAATTCTTAGTTTAAAAACATGGCTAAAACAGGCTTACCTCCATCGATCCATCGATTTTAAGTTCATCTTCGATAGTGCTCGTTGTTCAGCCCCGCAAATATTCTCCAAATAGCAGATGGCGCCCTTCGAGTTGTCTTCTTGCTGTTCTTGCCATGTTTTTAGCTACTTTTTGGCCTAGTTCTTGCTCTTGAAACGAGTGAAATATCCGCCATTTTTCAAGTTCACAACCAAAACAACTCAACCTCGTCCCCAAGGCCTTCTCGATTAACGGTGCATTAACCTGTAGAAGGCTGCATTTTTGACGTCATTTCCTCGTTAAACACAAAATTCTTCCAAATTTGGTCATCAGTAACTGGTTTTGGTGAATTATGCGTGTGCTTTTAGCCAATCAGAATTGGGGAAATATTTTGAATGAATAATAGCAGGTGTTATACTTTGATTTATTATTTTTCTACTTTAACATTGAAGCTAAGCCGGATACAAATGTGACTAAGAAATCTTACATGAATCATAGCTGCAAAATAACGCCGGTCTATGATGTAAGCACGTCACGTCAACTGTGGCTCTAGTTAATTTTCAGTAATTTTGTCAACCGGGTTACATCATAAAACAGTTATGAAGTTATACTTCTTTAAAATTTAGTTGGTGCGAGTCTTTAAAGCTTTCCTTCTCCCCCCTCCCCGCCCCCAACGCCCTTCCACTCGATGTAAAACCGGTGAGAATTCAGTAGTTATTGGATGAGGCTGAGAATGATGCAGTGGAACCTCGATTTAATGAACCTCTAAATAACGAAATCCTCGGTATAACGAACGATTTTCTTCAGCCCGGCCAAAATTACGGTAAAATATATAGAACAGAACCTCCATTAAAATCCTCTTTCAGTAACGAAGACAAGCCACCAACGCACGTGAAATGTACCTCAATAATACGAATAAATGTGAGCATGTGATAAAAGATGAATGCCAAACGAACCAACAAGGATAAAATTTATGTGGATACAGTAGTTTTAAGCAGTTTAGGACTGGACAATACACTGAAGATCACTGGCAAGATGCGTTCTCTGAAGCGCAAGGAAAATTGACGAAAATTACCTTTTCTTGGCATTCAGACTGGTGATAAATTAGCCAAACCTCCGTTCTTTGTCGCGTATTCTCGCCTTTGCCGTCACTGTCCCAATTTGGCCGATGGGGGTTGTCTCTTGCCGCGATTTCATTTTACGCTCTGTCGCTACTTTTTTTTCAGTGTCGCTTGTCGGAATTTACCCTGGCAGGGCCTCTTAAGTTCCCGTCTTCATAACATTTGCCAGTTCCTCGACAGTTTCAGGATATAAAGGAATGTTTAGTCTAGCGGATACAGTCAAACCCCGTTTTAATAACAATAATAATCATCATCATCATCATCATCATTATTATTATTATTATTATTATTATTATTATTAAAACATAAGCAAACGAATATTAACGTTAAAAGCCGACGTTTCGGTATCATCATGACACCATTATTACATTATTATTATTATTAATATTATTATTATTATTATTATTATTATTATTATTATTATTATTTCACGCAAGATAAAATACATACATCCTATGCTACAACTGTTTATGAATATATACCGTAAAACATAATAAAATAAATAAACTTATCATAGAATCCTAACTATCCTGTACTAAGGTTGTACTTAAATATTAAATAAATCTAGACTATGAAACGCTCAGTATTAATTTTAGGACGGGCACAATGTTTTTTACGGAGATTATAATAACAGACTTTCTTTGAAGGAATATATGGAGGGGGCCATAGAAATTAAAGTGTCTGTACTAAAGGAAGGTGTCCGTAAAGCGTGGTTTGACTGTATTCTTAGCTTCAAACAGGAGGTGTCATCCCCCAAGTGGTATTTTTGCCATTATTGCCATGTTTTTAGGCAATATTTTAGCCATTTCGTCTACGCAAAGCAAGTGAAATCTTCCACAGCTCTCTATCTGCTGTCCCTTTTCCCCTAGATTATCAGTACAATAGACCAATTCTGACACATTAAAATTCATACTTGGCACCGTACCCGATGCATGGGGAAAGAAAACAATAGATATATATTATTCGTCCATGAATCTCAAAGTAATTACTTTTGTTTTATTCTGCCTATGGTCTATTGGCGTCAATTGCATCTTGATATCGGCAGGGTCTTTCAGATTTGGTCAACGTCAGCTGGTTGAAAGGAATTAATTATAACTGAGGATTATACTTTTCACAAACAGAGAAATAACTGAATGAATAATAAAATGATTAATCAGCACTCTTGGTAACGGGAACCTCAATGATAAGTACTTGCCCGTCATCATCTTCGTTATCTCCAGTGACACCAGAACAGCTCGAGCCACTACAGTAAGAGCCCCCTCCCCCGCCTGCTTGGTTTGAGTGTGTGCCGCTACCTCCGCCAGAGTATCCACCACCTCCTCCTGAGGCACCATTATCTTCCGATCCCCCTCCACCACCGCCAAACCCTCCTACGGCCCCAGGGGGAGGCCCTCCGTTGTAGCCACTATTCATTCTTCCAGCACGTCCACCTACCCAGCCCTGAGCACGCGATTCACCCCTTTCACCATGCCAGGACCCGGCCCTGGGACAACCTTGGCCTAACCATCCCGCACCCACTCCCCCATGGTAACTAGCGCCTGCACTGTTACACTGACCAGGGTTCCCTCCAGATCCTCCGCTACGAACCTGACTTGACAACTTTCCAGTGCTACTGGTGCCGTTAGTTCCCGACTGACCATCCGTCCCGTTATATCCGCTAGATGCACCCCCTCCCCCTCCAGCAGCTAACAAAAGCACGTTACTTGTTGTATAAACAAAGCTCCCTCCCCCTCCTCCAGTTCCAGCATTGTCCTCTACGGACAATCCCAGCTCAGCTGCTGTCAAGTTAGTAGACTGTCCTCCTCGCACTTCCACTGAATCTCCTCCTCTTTGTCCCACCACAATGTTCAGCACAGTTCCTTTACTCAGGTTAAACGTGCCCTCCTTAAACGCGCCTCTGCCACCACGGTAAATTCCTGGAAAATGTCCATAGGTTGGCGAGTGGGTTCCTCCTCGAGCACCCCAAGCAGTGATACGATAGCGAGTTGTGGTTGGAACAGTGAACGTTTGTACGCTGCCAAAACGTCCCTTTCCTCCGTTTGTTGTAAATAACCAACCTTAAAATGAAACAAGAAATACGTCTATCGCAGAACCTCCCGAGGCTAGGGGAAAGAAGGCCCGTAAAATGTTATGGATGGGAGGGAGGGAGAGAAATAGAGTAAATTGTGTAATTGGTTAGGGCGAATTTCACAACCGGCTCTAATACTGCAAGCTGAGATATACTCAATCTCCTTTTAGTTCAAGTCAATTCATACGCAGTGTCCGTAAAATGTTATGGATGGGAGGGAGGGAGAGAAATAGAGTAAATTGTGTAATTGGTTAGGGCGAATTTCACAACCGGCTCTGATACTGCAAGCTGAGATATACTCAATCTCCTTTTAGTTCAAGTCAATTCATACGCAGTGCATGGGGTTGTTATTATTAAGAAAGGGTAGCCAAAGTTGCGTAGGTCCCGTTTTCATCCCATTCGACCCTACTTCAAGTGTAGTTTTTGTTAAGAGGAAATGGGTGTAATAGTGGATAACTACAGGCTAAGGACCCTCCTAATTGGCCGCAGGAAACAATGACATGTCATTCTTTCAATTGTTTTAGTATTGTTTGGCGTCAGGGCTAGGCACCACTAGTGACTTCTCTTCCAAGCATAATCGCTGCATCGAAAAAATTGACTGTAAACTGCCAGTAAGCATTGTCTCCCCTAATCTCCTTTCGTTGCGAATCCTCTTGTCGGTATTTTCTAGAAGCCTCTGCAGTCGGTGTTCCTTCTCTTTATCGGGTTCGTTCTCATTGTAATTGCGGTATTTAGTCGCTGTCTCGCAGTACAGCTGTCTGCACATGTCTGTACTCGCTGTAGCCTCTCTTCTGTCTATTGCTGATGGCTTCTTGTTCGCGGGGCAAAGCGATATGCTCTCGACTCAGCTGGTTTTTACTTTAATTGAATTATTTTCGCTTAATTTAGCATTATTTTATCAAATTTAAAATTTATTGTAGCTGTTAATGTAATCGTTGCTTTTAGCCACTAATTTTATAATTTGCGAAAAATAAACAAAAATCGCAATTCCCCCCCCCCCCGTCCCCAAATTTTACTGAGAAAAGATAATAAAAATTTTTCCTTACGACTGCAGGTTTTTCCGTCACCAGAAAATCCAGCCTTGCAAGTGCAGAGATAAGATCCGCGAGTATTGGTGCAATCAGCATTGAGGTCACAGACAGGGGGAGAAGAAGTGCACTCGTCAAGATCTGAAAAAGCAAAGGCGTGACTCAAGGTTCGGAAAAACGGGCAACAAAAAACGTACAACCACATCAAATCTGTCTTGCAACAAATCAGGTTGTTAACAGGTTTGAGCAGGGGTGGTAAAACGCGCAACATCGCTATTCAACTCGTTTTACAGCAATGTTGCAAAACAAGTTGCACGTTTTTTGTTGCCCGTTTTACCGTACCTTTAGGCGTATGAAAGGGAATAAAAGAGACTTTAACAGACTCCCAACCTCAATCGATTTCAGTTTTGAAGCACAGTGAAGGCTAGACGACTTTATGGATCCATCAAACCGTAAAACGTCTGGGAGAGCATAGCTTGAAAGGATTAAGGACAGTTCCTGCTTTCCTTGAGTACTTGCTAGAGTCAGGAGCATGGCTCCTGATAGAGTAAGCTTCCTACGCCCAGATCGCCATTTACTTCATGTCACTGGTACTTTTTAGCGGAACACCATGAGTAAGAAAATTTGGTTATCTGTGCATCCAAGAAATTTTGGTGGTCACGTGACCGTACGTTCGTTTACCCGCCCGTTCATCCGCACCACAGGGTAACCAATATGTAATGACATTGTATTTAGCTTGTGTGGGAGCCTGCAAGCTGTGATCAAGCTTAATGATAAACGTCTATGTTATGGTCAATTGGCAGCTGTCAGTAAGGGGCATCCACTGCCCAGTATCAAATGACGGTACACGGGGTCAGGTTTCGACTTATCGAGACCACATGTTATTTAAGGTTTTCCGCTGACCAGTTATTAACTTTTTGTTCATCGCAGGCTCGAGGTTAGTTTTTACAGCAGCCCCTTTCGTCAAACGTCTTATGGTCCTCCTTTCATGTTAACCCTCAGACGTACACGCAAAGTCATACCCCCACCATGGTACAAGGGGGGATTGATTTGATATGTTGCAATATTTCGAAATGATTTTGCCTTCAGTGGAAAGCCTTTCATCTTCTCTACAAGATGAGGTATATTTTATGGGTGGTGGCGCTTCCGGAAAACTGTGACGTCACCAAACATGGTCGCCATTTTGGCCGCAATCTTGAATTTTATTAAGAATTAGAGATAAGGTAAAAACAGTGAGAAGTAATAATTTTTTGCGCTTAACATGTAAAATAACACAAAAATAATTACTTTGCATCATTTCATCCACAAGTTTTACTTTTGTTGTTGAAAACAGTTGAAAAAAGATGCATTTTCACTCAAAAATGGCTTGACCACCTGCTACTTATGACGTCATATCTTGTAACCATAGTAATTGATCATCATTAAACTTGTCTCAAAGTGTGCGCGAAGGATAAACGAACAGCTACAGAAAACTTCAGGTGTCGATGTTTTATCGTCTAGGAAAAAATTCACAAAAACCTTATGGGGGGTGGCAACGTATAGTATAGTATAGTATAGTATAGTATAGATCTTTGGCAGTAGTTCCAAGTTCACTGTTTGAAGCAAGTAACTGTGAAGGAGCTTCGCCTTTAGCTCTGGTTAAATCGTTATATTAACTGAACTCACCTTCAGTTTCCATATTGCAGTAAGCGAGAACTGGTGTCCCAGGTTTTAAGGTGGAAAACCAATATTTGTCGCTGGTTGCTTTACCTTCACTCATCTTTATTTCATGACACGTCTCTGCAGGCAGTTCAGGAATGGAACCTAAAGGAACTGGGGAAAACAGCCAGACATACAGTTATTAATAACTATTTTTTTGCTATGGGATTCGTGCAGCACAATTTCAAAATATTCTTATTACCTCGGTTCTTATCTCGCTTGATGTAAGATCTGTCTGCATTTGGAATGAAATCCTCTTGTCTTGCTTCTTTTGTTCTGTTGTTGAACTCGCAAGTGAGGAGAGAGATCACCCAGTTGAGACTTTGGCATCGATCATCTTTGTAACAGGCAAATACGCAAGTGTGTGGAAGATCTGCCTGCATTGTCTTATAGATGTGTCCGCGCAACATCCAGCCCAAGATGGATGTCTCGGATCTCCCGCCCGGGCATTGCTGAGCCTCTGCTCTGTAAAGGATCGTACCCACAACAAGGAGAAATGATATACGGAAGAATCGCCTCAGCGCCATACCTTTTTAAAAGACATTGATCAAGTTCATCTTAAAATAAGTGGATTTACACTATTTTATTGCAGAAACAACAAGAATCTTGCTGCTAAAATATTGCTGAGTAAAGATCGCAGTTCCTTAGTAGTCGACCTTATACGGAAAGAACATCTCTTTTACCTAACAACGTCACTGGAACATTTTTTTATCCGGTATTAGAATGAAATTAAACAACGCCAATTACCAGTAAAAAAAAGTTGTAAAGAAATTAAATAACATGGACCTTCTCTTACCAATGTATTTACTAGCTTGTGTGTGATACGACGTTTTCTACAAATATCCGTAGCCTGCCAGATAGTGGCGAATGGACGTTGTGCTGACTTAGCATAGACAAAGAAGAATATCATGTGAATGTCTGGTTAGCTACTTAAATGGGTTTTAACTAAAAGACCAGTTATGATAAAATCGTCCTTTCTCATGCAAATTAAAGTTGTATCTAAAAATATGCCGCCAACTGTGAAATTAAGTTAATTTCAAGAAGCTGCGTCGGCGTGTAAAGATATCAAGTGACTAAAGACATAAAGCGATTCCCATTCTTTTTTTTTTTGCTAAAAGTGTGCTAAGAAAATATGAAATAATAACAAGATAACCCTGATATCCGGCTTGTTGATATCAACTTAGGGCAAGTTACGTCTTGAAAACTTAACTTTTACCAACCATAAGAATAACCTTAACTGAAAGGTAATGGATAGTTTACTTGATTTGCGTCATTTTTCCTCAGTCTCCTGTCAGTCCAAATTATTTTCAAACGTCCAGATGAGATAGTGAGAAATAGGTTTTATAATAGAGTAGTTATTCAGTTAATTATCGACGAAAATACTGGAAAATAGCCTTGGTGTATTACGTTTTGTCTCACTACGTCAAAGCACTGAATTATATTCAAGTTTTATTGACAAAGTAATAATCTTTAATTAAACCATGCAGTTTCAGGCGTTTTCGTCAAGCAGAAAATCCTGTTGACTCACACTGTTTCCTGTCTGGCTTTTTCACTTTGTACCTCTTAGCCTCTCTACATTGAAATCTTTAACACTGAACGCTTAAAATGTATATGCGTCTACGCGTTTTTCTACAGTTCTCTTTATTAGCTTGCTAAAGATCTCAGACTACTTTCCTTTGATAGCAATAAAGTATTAACTAAATTATTTTTTGGTCAGCTCAAATCGTCTAAGAAAGAGTCTGTACTCGGACAGCCTGCTTGGAGGGAGCAGAAACTACAATCGACTTCCATACGAAAATACTTTCGTTATGAGCTTGGCAAACTTTCATATACAACCTGTCCTTCATTAAGGAACTGTGAAACGAAAGTTGGATTATTGTATGATGAAGCTAAAACTTTCCGGTTACTGCAATTTTTTCCTGAGACACTTCGATTTTCTGAAATTGCATAGTATTAAATGTATCTATACTGGGTACCCATTATATTTTCTAGTTTCTTAAGACGAAAAAAAGTTTCATAATCACCTGTAAAGATACTTAAGGTGTTGCTTCCATTTTTCCCCTCAAGCCACAAGAAAATATCTTTTGTTTACTGGTTCCTTGGGTGCTGTCTATGTGCGTAGTCACGGTACAACAGGTTCCCCTCTGGGCCTGAAATAACAGAAAAAAACATCTATAACCTATAAATATTACATAAAACTGTGATTAAAACCTCCAAAATGTATAGTGACTTAAAAAGAAAAAAAAGAAAAACAAAACAACAGCTCACAAAATTGCACGGTAAAAATTAATGGGAAAAAAATGATAATGGTAACATTAAACATAAAACCCAACAGACTGACTACAAACCGCGCCACTCACGAAATGCTACGTTTTTCATTACAGTTGGATTGCATTAAGTCAGCCATGTAGCTCTTTGATGCAGTAGAGGACAGTGATTTAAAAACCGACGAATTTCCATTCAAAGCTTCATATTAAAAGGTTGCTTATTATTCCACAATTGCCTCTCTCTCTCAAATTGTGAATGATCTAACTAATTTCCCACAAATTAAGAAAAAACCGTTTGTTACCGCCGAAGCTATTTGCATTTAATTAAAAGTATGGAGTGTGCACGATGGTCGGTTGCTAGGGCTTTTCCTCCCGCAACTTCGTAAATTCAATTTTTGGCTCACAGAGCAGTATTTTATATTCCAAATGAAGCAAGACATCAAAAACATCTTAATTACAGAAAAATTTTCTTTAAATTTTTACCATTGTAAAGGTATTTTTTACGTTTGTTGAAAGTATGACGTCATAAGTGACGCCTATTTTTAGTAACAACATTAAAAACTTGCATAGCAGTGTTCAAAACATTACAGACATTTTTGCAACACAAAAAGAATATGTATAGTGACATCCAAAAAACGGCTGCGAGGGAGACTAACCACCGTAGTGTCTTGTAAGTAATTTGTTCTAAAGTCATGTACAAAGTGTCCCGTACGCTTACCGCACTGAGTTTCCACATATCACGTTCTTCACCAAGAGTTCCTTCAACAGATTTTTTTCACTATAAAGTCCGTGAGATTGTTTACACTGCTTTAAACAAAAAAATGAGATAGATGGATAAATCGAGACAAAGATCATTCAGACCGTAAATTTAATTTCAAACTGAACCATTTGATTGGACAGTCAAGTGTATTAATTATGAATCCCATTCACTATATGGAAACACAAAGGACGAGAGGAGTTTGGACACATCCAGCAAGGTATCATGGGGCAAATTATCGAATTGAGTAAGGAACTACAGATAACATCAACCTAAACCATTTATCTTATATTTCTAAGTAAGACCACCAAAGTAAAAGAGAGAGGGGGAGTCTTGAACCCGTTTTCCTACATTTATATCTTACTTAACCGCTACATTAAAAGAGCAATCGGTACCAACAGCCGTAATTTTATAGTATTTCTATGGAGATTCCAAAAGAGTAAATAAAAGCTAACCATTCTATATTTTAGTCCTTAACCCTAATTACTATACATCGATACAAAACATAATCGCAGCTCCATGCTCTGACTTCTTTTGCTGCTAAATTGGCTTTCCTTCTTCTTAATTTCCCACTAAATTTTTAAGCTTTTTTTCTTTCAAGATTCTGCTGTCATATCGATGACTCATCGGGTTTGAATTTAGGTCAGTGTTATCTGGAGCCATCCTCGAATTGAGTGGCGTTGGAATCATTTGCATCAAACCTTCGAGCAGTGCGGTAACCTGCGAGCAAGCTCTCCCTGGGGTATGGGGTGGCAGGGCAGGAGGGGGGGGGGTGAAAGAGGAAGGTATATAAATCTGCGAACGCAGATGTAGGCGTTTTTCTGTCTGTCACTTAGCATCTGGCTTCACAGTCTATCAGAATGGGCGATAAAGAATTAAGGCAAAAGCCGCAGCTGTACTTACAGCCCACAGAAAGCTTTGTAAAGGAAGTTCCACTTATCATAAGGTCTAACAAACATATCAGTCTCCGATAAAACTCATGGTGCAAAGAAAGTCAGTTTTACAGTTTGCCATTCGGGCACTAGCTGTAGCTAGCACGTACTAGCCCAATATTCATTTCAACCAGCCCCTAAAACCTTTTGATGAGCAGGATTGATTACACAGTTCTCATGTAATTTGAATTCCTTTAAAAAAGAAAAAAACCCTTATTTGCCCGACGGGGAAGAAAAGCACAGATTTCACTAGTGCGATACGAAAATACTCTAATCCCAGGCTTTCGGACACTACTTTCTTTGCACGCTGAAAAGGTGTAAAGGTGAATGCGGAAAAAAAAACACGAAAATAACGCTTTCCATTTATTCCTACTTTCTAAACGTGAAAGGACCTGCTTTAATAAGCGCTTTTCAATATTAGCCCCTAGAGGCTTATATTCGTTGGTATTGTTCTCAATATTTTACATCCCAGAATCGAAACTTTCAAGTGAAAGACCGCATGCGAGGTTTCACACTGGTTTAGCTAACGTATGGACAACTAAGATTGAGTGAAATATACCGTTCGTACCGTGGTATTGCCAGCACGTTTTCTTTCATGGACATTTGAAGTGAATGTCCCAATGTTATATTGTGTCTCTTTTGGGCCAAGAAATGAAAATTGCACGAGTTATTCCATTGTTTAAATCTGGTGGTGACTCTTTGTTCACAAATTACAGACCTGGATCAGTTTTACCGGTATTTTCTGAATTCCTACAAAAGAATCGTCCATAATCGCCTTATTATTTTCTTAAAGAAATATGATATTGTTTCCCAGAATCAGTATGGATTCCGAGAAAATTGTTCTACTGCGCATGCTTTTCTCCAATTGTATGACAAGATCTCAAATGCACTTGATGCTAAGAAGGCGACTTTAGGCCTATTCATTGACCTATCTCAGGCCTTTGATACAGTAAATCGTGAAATTTTGCTGAACAAGTTAGAACATTATGGAATACGTAGTATTGTTTTACAATGGTTTAAAAGTTATCTTTCTTGTCGAAAACAATTTTTTAATTGTGCAATCTAATGGTTCTAACTTTTAATCATTAGATGTTACTTGCGGAGTCCCTCAGGGCTCTATCTTAGGTCCCCTGTTCTAATGATCTTGAGTGCATGTAATGTGTCAAAGTAGTTAAAGCTGATAGCACTTTTGCTGATGACACCAATATCTTCTGTTCGCTTCCTATCTTATGGAAGTTGTAAATTCAGAATTGAAAAAGATATTAACATGTTGGTTTTATACAAATAAGCTATCTATTAATGTTAAGAAATCTAATTTTATCATATTCAGACCAAGACAAAACAGGCAAACACTTGATCTAGCTTTTAATATTAGTGATTATTCATGATTGATCGTGTTTAGGGAGCTACTTTTCTTGGTGTAACTGATTTTGGATGAACATTTAACATGGAAATCACATAAACATAATTTTACAAGGAAAGAGTCTAAAGCCATATCATGTTTCACTGGACAAAGTGAAAATAGTTTTTCTTTATATTATTTCATTGCCTTTTTAAAAAATCTTGAATTGTCTTCCGTCTCGTTATACGGCAGTTACACCATGCCACATTAAGGTAAATTAAGCTTAAGCTAAAAATCCCCTAGTGTCTATTCTTAGTTAAAATAAGGAAGGATAAAAGAAATAGATACACAATAACTGAGGTTACTAACAAAAGGGTGTCATATATTAAGTACAGCTAACCTACTCAATACTCTGACTACATTGATCTTTTAGTCAGTACTACAGTAGCGATACCAGCAACTTCCAGTACTCTTGAGGTAGTAGACATAATAGGAACCACAGTTCCTTACTTTAATGTTGGTGGAGAGAGAACAACAGCTTGACCAGTGAAAACACGCTTTTCTAGTAACCTGACCATCTTCCACGCTAGGATGTCCGCCCTTCAGCCAGCCGGGAGCGTTTGTGTTACACTTATATAAAGGCGGACATGACGTCGGCATCCTTGTCCCTGCCGCACCTTCGAACCTGTACCATGCGGTGTCTATTGTTTTGTCACATTGTACTGAAACTTTTCCGTACGTGACTTTTCTGTCAGCATTGGTAATGCGTCGATAATCTACACATTCTAAGTAGACGAGAGAGAAACAGAGAGAACGTGATTAAGAATCATTCAAAAATTAAATTAAGTACAGATGATGACTAGTGGATGAACCCTCGAAGCATTTCACAGACACTGCATGATGCGAGCAACTGGTTCATTTACCAGGGACATTGAAAATTGTCAACAATGTGCAAAGTGTTGTTTAGGGACTAATCGCAAACCAGCCAGGAGGCAGCTTGGCCTAGAGGTTATAGCGCGAGGTAGAGCTAAGCTGGACTTGTAATCCGGTGCCCCCGAGTTTAAGTACCACCCTGACCGCTAGGTGGATTCCTCCTTATGGGGTCAAATCTTCGACCATGGCACGTTTGTAACACTGCAACAACATTTTGCGACAAAATTTTACTTTTATCTGCTTGACAATATTTAGCGATTATCAACATTAGGAGGGAGCAAAGGATACAAGAAATTTCGAAGAATGACTAATTTTGTAGAGAAGACTGGAGGCCAAATATTAGCGGTGAGCGTCAAGTATATCTCATGAGGGATACAGTAAAAGCGTCCGGATGAGCAAACAAAACTTAAGCATCGGATAGCAAGACGAGAAAGGCAGCGTGCGTTGCATCTTACAGTGCAGGGCGGGATTCCTCAGAATTAACTATTAATTCTTGCTGAAAATTGCGCGGCGCCAAACATCAAACTCAATAATGGGGCAGAATAAATACCAGTGGAGAAAGAGGCGGATTGAAAGGACTGGAATATTATTGCATATGGCGGTTTGGAAAACTGCTTTGAATGAAAAATATGGTGGGACTGGCAGTATTACATGAGAATGTACCATATGCATTTATCTGCAATTATCAGTGCAAAATCAATAAATTCAATGTCAATCGATCGATTATTAAACTCGAATCGCTTTTGTGTAGACAAATTCTAAGGAATATATCTTTACAACTGGTAGCTAGTACACAATTTAGTTCAGAACGACTAGTACTCAGTACCTGCTGGCAGACAGGTGTGGTCTTCCGCGTAACTATGACTACAGACACAATTATATGAACCAGGAATGTTTACGCAGGTGGCGAAGTTTGGAAAGCAGTCATGTGATCCTTCCACGCATTCATCGACATCTTTAACATTGAAAAAAATAACGTTCATTCAGCTCGTTTCATTTAAACTCTAGCTTTCGACTATTACTATAGCCCGGTTCAAACTTTGTCTAGTGATTTCGAGTCATTCATGCAGTAGAACCTCCATTTGCGAGCATCTCTCGTAAGCCGGACCAACTCCCATAACCGACCACCTATCCAAAACACCCATATTTTCCCATTCAAGGTTCTATAATCAGAACCTCTCGTGATCGATAGCCTCACTCAAGCGTTCACGATCACTTTATTGTCCTGACGGTTTTATTCCATAATTTTTAAACTCTTGTAAGCGACCACTCAGTGTCGCATAGCATTGTCTCTTTGTTCACTGTGTGTACTACGCCGCTCCGAGAATACGAAGGACTTTCTGTGACAACATGAAACTACACTTATACGTAACTTAGAAATTTCATGCAGTAAATTATCTGCCAAAAAGTAGATATATTGGGACCTAGCTCTCGGAAGAGACCCCCTCGTGGAACAACAACCTCTCGTATTTTAGGTAAATGCCTACGGGAGGTTGGACTGTACTCCCGACCCAAACTACAAAAAGAGGTCACGGAGGTTCTGACCATGCCGTGGAGCTGTGTGGTCTGACGATTATTACTCTCTATACCTTCGACCGACTATCTAATACCTTAGTATGAAATTCGTTATTCCGGTCACAATGTTTTCGTTTTCCTACTATACCTTGGCAAGTTTTGCCATCACCAGAGAATCCGGTCTTACAGGTACAGAAATAGGATCCTTGGGTATTGGTGCAATTAGCATTGACGTCACAGACGGGATGAGAGGTGGTGCATTCATCGATATCTAAATAAGTAAAATTATTGACAGAATTAATAGACACCGATCACCTTACGTGAGGAAATCTGGATGCCGAAATCCTCTAATTTCTTTTTAGGCTTGTTGAAATCCGGAATCCTGGAAAAAATTTTTTTGTGGAATCAGGAATCCTGAGCTTTGGAATCCAAAAAACAGCTCAAGGAATCCGGAATCCCACAAGAAGAAATCAGCTTACCGTTCGTTACTGTAAAAAGGAAAGAGAAATGAGTAATCCTGAATTCAGTTTTCACTGTTAACTAAGACTGGAATACAGTACCGGGATCCCGAATCCACTGCAAGGAGTTCAGAATCCAACAAGAATGTAAACCATTCCAATATTTTAAGAAACAGACCATTTGATTGTAATTGCAATTGAATTATATAAATTCCTTTGGCGCACAGTGAATTACGAGCCGTACAAATCAGGTGACAATTAACCAAGACTGACATTCGATGGATAGGGCCAAAATTTTAGTGCTCATAATGCTCTACTGAGAATAACTTAAGTCACCTTCGGTCTCCATGTCACAATAAGCCAGAATAGAAGTCCCACTTCTTATGGTAGAGAACCAATATTTTCCACTGGTTGCTTGACCCTCACTCGACTTGATTTCATGACACGTTTCTGCAGGCAATTCGCGAATGGATCCTAAACGAACTGAAAAAAAAAAAAAACAGACAGGATTTTTTGCTGTAATTGCATACAGACAGTTAGTCTTTCTATTACCCATTTTTAGATCTTAAATGGTAAAATCATCACACGGTCATGTCATGTACCCCTGGATGTGCAAGGATTTTTGTCCATCTTTTTATCATGTTCGCAACATTAGAGACCTTTAGGTTCTAAGATGATGAGATCTTCTTTATACTTAAGAAGTACGCATGCTTAACCATGCAGCACCATTTTGGCGGAAAAACATGATAGCCTTCGTCATTCTACTACGGGTTTCAGAGAGAATGTCTTAGTAGCGGAAGACACGTTACCAAATGTTAAGAGTTTTATCATCTTGCGATAGGGAAGGGCTTATTAACAGGCCCTCAAAAGAAATAAGAGTACTACCTTTTCTGGTGAAAAAAAAATACAATGAAGCTTTATAGAGTGTCTATTTTTTTGTGAATACGCCAAGTCGTAGTCGTTCTCGTTGACCTCGAATCTACACGTCTCCATTGCTGCATGCAATAAAAATTAAAAAGCGATCGATTTTGAGCGTTTTACCACCTACGAATAAGTTAAACCTCTATTATAACAAATTAAGTCAAGTTGTTGCGTGTAGCAAAAAGTTTTACTACTCCCTACTTACCACGATTCCTATCTCGTTTGAAGTAAAACCTGTCTGCGTTTGGAATGAAATCCTCGGGTCTTGCTTCCTTTGTTCTGTTGCTGAACTCGCAAGTGAGGAGAGAGATAACCCAGTTTAAGCTTTGGCATCGATCATCCTTGGAACAGGCAAATATGCATGCGTGTGGAAGATCTGCCAGCATTTTCTTATAGATGTGTCCCTGCAACATCCAGCCGAAGATAGATTCCTTAGATAGTCCACCAGTACATTGCTGATCGTGATCAGTCACCACTCCATAGAGCACTTTACCCAACGCAGAGATAACTGCTATGCGAAAGAGCTGTTTCTTTTCCATTCTCTTAAAAATACATCACCTAACGAGTAGGCAAAGACAAGATACTCTAATTTATTAAGAGGTTTGAATTCTGGATTGCAAAATAAAGCTATTACTTAAGTAACAACATAAGTTTGATTGCGTATCCGCACGTGTAATTATTATTATTATTATTATTTTTTCAACCAAACGAGATGACTGAATTAATACCTGCTAACTAGGCTGCAAAAGCTTTCAACATAGAGGCAAACGATCTTACAAAATATATTCAGCCTTGTCCGTTGATACAACCTTTGCGAAGTGCTGCTACCAGTTATGAAAAAATAGCAGATAAGGCGCTATAATTTAACTTCAAGGGCCCGGATGAATAGAAAAAATAACAATTGAAAACTCTGTTTGAATTCCACTTCTTTACGCAATACATCTTCATGTATTATGCAAGTAAGCATCACTAATTTATTTTAAATTATTGAACGTAACTTATGAGATGTAACTATTTTAAGTTCATCTCTAACGATAGTGTTGGCCGCTAATAAAAACTTTAATGAATAATTGCCTAGAAACACTTTATCTTAATGGGAAACCCTTGATGAGAAACTTCAAATTGATTTTATTTTATTTTATCTCCTTACATTTATGCACTCCTTCGCCAACAATGTGCGACCTTTACTAGCAACCCACACGTTACAATATTCAGATCCCTCTAAATTTGTCATTAAAATTAACTTGATATCCTTTGTAGACTGAAACTGATTCATTTTTTTTATTTTTATCCTAAAACTAACTTAATCTAAAAGCTAGTTTTTAATTTGACATGTATTGGCTTTTACAGGTGCACATCATTTGAAACTGAGATTTGGCCCGTGTTTAACAAAACGGAGTTCTAAGGCTAGACACATTTTATCGTTAACAATTTCAATCAAGCATATAGCGTACACTGCAATGGGTTTTTCCTAAATTAACCCACTAAGAAAGAGATCTGGAGGTCCAAGGATTTCTTTAACTGCGGCTAAAGTTAAACTTCGTCTAAATAACCGACCCGCTTAGAATTCGGTCCTAATTAAAAAAATTTCAAAAGTGGGCGAAGATCACCTACTTAGCCGGTTTTTCGAAGAAAAGAGTCACCGTGGGTATAAATTAAATTTCCTAAATTAACCACAATTGTTTTTATATAACCATTCACATATAGTGAAATAATGATACCTGAAATAGCACAAGTCATGCGAAAGTAGCTTTTGTACATTTACGAACCTTAAGGCTGCCTTGGAAAAGTAAATCACTTCTTACATTATAGAAGTCCCTCACTGGCTTGTACTGGTGCTCCAATTATGTATTTATAGTATAATTATATTCATTTTTTCTAATATGCGTATTTAGTTACTTTTTGTTTCTATCGAACAATAACCAGATTGAAATCGGAAGTGGACGCCCACAATATCTTGTGAAATTTAATATATTTTCCTAGTGATTTCATGCACGGTTCCTGGTGGACATTGTCCCTACCTTTTCAGATCTTTTCATTGCCGAAATCGGGGCTTTGAAATTAAAATTAAATTTCAAAGCAGCAAATCTGTACCTACGCATTTATTTTTAACAAAAGGCAATATTTTTATTTTACTGTAAGTCCCATACACCCTTTTAAAAAAAGTCAGTCACTTTTATATAATGAGTGCAAGGCTATTAAATCTATGATCTCATTAGAATAGCATTCATAATAAGAAGTGTAAATTTGGGGAAAAAAATAACATTACAGGGACGCCCGCAAATTAAAAGAGATTTTCAAGGAAAAAAAACGCAAAATCTTAAAATGATTTCTTAGTAATAGAATTAATAGCAAATTAAAGTAAACTTTAAGAACACGGGAAACTAGTCGACTAAGACAAAGCATCGATCTAAAGAAAAATGAGGGTGAGATTATGCACATCAATTCTTTTGTCTAACATAATTTTCAGGTTAAAAAAAGTCCACTCTTAATTTGGTAAATTAGTGTCAATGTGTGCCCTGGCATAGTTTTTCTCTGGCAAGTGAATAATTGCTAGTTGGCTTTCTTGATACATTATTAAAAGCTGAATTATTGCCAAAAAAAATTTGAATTTTCAGAATTTTTGGAGCCTGTCCCACCTCTGAAGAGTCCTACGCCATCTGTCGCTTCAAAATCTGTCATTTTTCCCGTGACGCGAGGCGTTGATAGTGACCCGTTTCTTTTGAGTTTTGGTGTGTCTACGCGTTTAGAAGAAGAAACCTCCTTTAATTTATAGACGCCTGTCATGAGTTCTAATACATATTACTAACATAGTGTATCAACACACCATGACTCTACTATGGTTCATAAATGGCCAAGGTGATATAATCCTTATAGACATGTGCAGAAAAGACCCTACAGACTTGTGTATGATTCAGTCAAACAAGCTACTATCAATCACAATCGTGTGCTATAAATTCTGTATACTGTACCACTATGTACGTTTGAAAACTTCTAAAGAGCTATCGATCTCCACTTAACGGTCTTAACTTGTTCACTTCTGGAAACTCTCCAAATCTTGCTAAGACTCCACTGCTATATATAGTCCCTGGGTTTTTGTTCTCCTCTAAACATTTCCTAATAAGGGGCTAGCAAAAGTCACAATTAGCAACATTTCACTTAACGAACATGTGGCGTACCTGCCATAAAGTTGAATTTTTTAAAATTGAATTGGATAGGTGTTATATAAACAGCCACCTGATGGCAGTGATAATATCACTTCCGTTATCCAGTTGTGAGGCAGCATCAATTATTTTTCTCATTGGTCTAACATCTAAGCTCATGTAAGGGAATGTAAGACAGTCTTGAAATCTGGATTCCGCGCCGTGGATTCCGGATTCCAGGTACTGGATTCCAGTCACTGGAACTTGGATTCTCGATTCCAATAATTAGTGGGATTCCGGATTCCTGAAGCTGTACTCCGGATTCCAAAGCCCAGGATTCCAGATTTCACAAGCAAAATTTTCCCGAATTCCGAAAACTGGATTCTCTTATATTGGGAGAAAAATCAGGGTTTGTGCCTCTTAATTAGCTCAAACGGATGTGTCCGAATTATATCACAGTTGACCCGTCTGAGATTCCATCTGAAAGGCTTTGTACCTGAACCGGAGGCGCACATTCATTTTTTTTTTGACGTTGCGGAAACCATTGGGATTCAAATTAGGTTTCTAAGAAACTACCCACCTGCCCCTCCCCTAAGCCAACATTTTGCCCTAAGTGAGAAGCAAGTGTTAATGTCAGCTTAGGGGGGG